TTTTACAGATGCTGTTTTTGGCTGTTGACCTTTTTTTTTTAAACAGCTAGTAAACCCCCTTCATTACAACCCCCCCCCCCCCCCCGCATGTTATCCTATGTGTCCATGCACTCATAGCCTGTAATCAACATATTTTGGCTGGGAAACAAGACTAGTGGGTTTCTAGAGGAGTTTTTTCAGCTGTAAAAATGCTCTAACGCTGCAAAACGCAGCAAAAGACGGTAAAATGCAGTAAAACATCTGTGTTTTTGGATTTTTTTTAACCCCCAAAAATTAGTTTTTGGTAAAAAAAAAAAAAATGCTAAACAAACGCAAACACTGAAACACGTGGGAAAAATTCAACAAAACGTCACTAAACGCTAAAAAAAAGCTGAAAAACTCAAATTTTAACGTGATTTTACACAGCTAACGTTACCAGCGCTATCAAACGTCCCATGTGCATGAGGACTTACAGAAAGAAATGTAAGGGCCCTTTCACATTGCTTCATGTAAGCGTTTTTCTGCATATGTGTTTTGATGCGTTTTAGGTTTGTTTTCTGGTTGCCTGACCCCTAGCATGCATCTGCTTCAGTAGATTCTGATTGGTCACTGCTAATTTTACAAGATCATTTCTGGGTTTGCAAAGACATTTGTTGAACACCAGGTAAATCTATATCCTTTGTCTATTGAACAATATATTTAAATTAAAGGAGAAGTACAGCTAAAGCTCATTTGGCTGTACGTCTGTGAATCACAGGAGTGCAGTTCGTTCTGCACTCCTGTGACCTGTTTTCAGCCTTGTCTAAAGCCTGATGGCAGCTGATGTCACAGAGCCGCTCCAGGCTAGAGAAAGTTCATGTCCGCTGAAAGCCTGATCCAGCCTCTCCTGCCCCTCCACAGTTCAGTGCTCCAGTGAACGTGGAGCAGGGGGGGGGGGGGGGCAGAGCAGAGAGCGTTGACTAACAGTCACCGCTCTCTCTGCTCAGAGCAGCAGGGAAAACTGAGTGATCGGTGATGTTTGATCGCTCAGTTCTCAACCTTGGAGCCAGCGGGGGACAGATGCCATAAGTTTCCATAAGTGAGTGGAGCCTGTTAGCCCCCCCCCACAGCTCTGCACTGGCTATGTACAGCTCAGTAATGGTGTCACTGCTAATTTTACAAGGTAATATCTGGGTTTTCAAAGGCATTTGTTGAACACCAGGTAAATCTATATCCCTTGGCTATATCGAACAATATATTTAAATTAAAGGAGAAGTAAAGCCTGCTGGCAGCTGATGTCCTAGAGCTGCTTCAGGCTAAAGAAAGATCATATCTGCTGGAAGTCTGAGCCAGCCTCTCCTGCCCCTCCACAGTCCTGTGCTCCAGTGAGCTAAGGAGGTGGCAGAGCAGAGAGCGGTGACTGACAGTCACCGCTCTCTGCTCAGAGCAACAGGGAAAACTGAGCGATCGGTGGTGTTTGATCGCTCAGTTCTTAACCTTGGAGCTGGGGGGGGGACAGATGCAGCATCCATTTGGTGCTGCATCCACCTAGGTAAGTATGATTTAAAAAAAAAAAAAAAAAAACAAGTCCCAAACTTCTCTTTTAATGTTTTTGTTCTCAGAGTTCAGCTTTAACTAAAGTAGGGAATAGTCGGGTTATTAGGCTGCTTGTGCTAACTGGCAGAGCTGTGTAAATCTCAGGACTGATTGGACACTATTACAAATCAGATACTTGTTTATCATGTGTGTAGTAAGCGGTTTGCCTGGATTTCAGCGTTCAGTTTATTATATTTATTATAAAAGGTGGAGTTTATGATGTAGTGTGTTGAGCTCATATCATATTTCCTACTTTGGGTTTTATTTAGCTCTCAGTCCCTCAGCTTGTAAAGACAGACCTGCCTGAAAAAGTCATTTTAATGCTGAGGATTAGGCATCTGGATATTCATTCCAAAACACGGAAGACATATGGAGGAAGGAACAGTCAAAGGAGCAATAAATGTAACCTACAATTTATTGTTAGGTAATAGAACTCATAATGCTATGTACCATCTGCATAGAAGACTTTCCCACATCTGTACATAATATTGGAAGGACATTTTCTCTGTAGTCATGTGCAGTCAGGGATTAGAGGCCGAAGGAGGCTTATTAGAGGCTGCCTGCAATGGTCAATGAGATTACTGGCAGATGACCAACTGGGTGCAGGAAATTTCTCATCTTCAGACTAGAGTCTGTATTGGATTCTCTCACTTCTGATCAGCATCAGAAATGTCAAAAAAAGAAGTTCTACCCCAAATGGATTCATTTATTTTGGGTGGAGTGAGGTAGGGTTTAGTCCCTCGTAAGGACAAGTTTCCCCCAACCCACAGTAGGGTGGTGAAGGACCACGTCTGGCTTTTCAACAGAACTATCATGTCTGGAATTCCTCTAGCTATTCTTTATAGGAATATATGGGGAATTCACTTGGGCAAGTGCAAACGCTAGTTTAGCTGAAAAGCCCAGTTTTGCCTTTTACAGTTTTGTTGTAATTATAAGCTTTTGGACAGCAAAAAAGATTAAACCCAACCCAAAGTGAAGGTAAATCCCCCGATTATCACCAGAACAGGTGTAACTCTTGGAGGATTTCTACCTCCCCTCTTGTTCTGGTAACTATAATTTTGGTTTTCCCATTAAACACACAACAGAAGTTACATAGTTACATAGTTAGTCTGGCTGAAAAAAGACAAAAGTCCATCCAGTTCAACCATTAAAAAAAAAAGTTATAATCCTACACCCCACAGTTGATTCAGAGGAATGCAAAGAAAATCAGCAAAGCATGATCCAATTTGTTCCTGCAATTCCTTCCTGATCCCCCGAGAGGCAATCAGATATTCCCTGGATCAACTTTACCTATAAATGTTAGTATCCAGTTATATTCTGTGTATCTAAGAAATAATCCAGGACTTTTTTAAAGCAATCCACTGAGCTGGCCAGAACCAACTCTTGAGGGACTCTATTCCACATTTTCACAGCTCTCACTGTGAAGAAACCTTTCCGTGTTTGGAGATTACATTTCTTTTCCTCCAGATATAAGGCATGCCCCCTTGTCCTCTGTGATGACCTCAGGGTGAATAGCTCTACACCGAGTTCACTATATGAACCACTGATTTTATGTATTATACATGTTGATCATATCCCCCCTTATGTATTATACATGGAGATCATATCCCCCCTTATGTATTATACAGGGAGATCATATCCCCCTTATGTATTATACATGGAGATCATATCCCCCCTTATGTATTATACATGGAGATCATATCCCCCCTTATGTATTATACATGGAGATCATATCCCCCTTATGTATTATACATGGAGATCATATCCCCCCTTATGTATTATACATGGAGATCATATCCCTCCTTATGTATTATACATGGAGATCATATCCCCACTTATGTATTATACATGGAGATCATATCCCCCCTTATGTATTATACATGGAGATCATACCCCCCCTTATGTATTATACATGGAGATCATATCCCCCCTTATGTATTATACATGGAGATCATATCCCCCCTTATGTAATATACATGGAGATCATATCCCCCCCTTATGTATTATACATGGAGATCATATCCCCCCTTATGTATTATACATGGAGATCATATCCCCCCTTATGTATTATACATGGAGATCATATCCCCCTTATGTATTATACATGGAGATCATATCCCCCTTATGTATTATACATGTAGATCATATCCCCCCCTTATGTAATATACATGGAGATCATATCCCCCCCTTATGTATTATAGATGGAGATCATATCCCCCCTTATGTATTATACATGGAGATCATATCCCCCTTATGTATTATACATGTAGATCATATCCCCCCTTATGTATTATACATGGAGATCATATCCCCCCCTTATGTATTATACATGGAGATCATATCCCCCCTTATGTATTATACATGGAGATCATATCCCCCCTTATGTAATATACATGGAGATCATATCCCCCCTTATGTATTATACATGGAGATCATATCCCCCCTTATGTATTATACATGGAGATCATATCCCCCTTATGTATTATACATGGAGATCATATCCCCCTTATGTATTATACATGGAGATCATATCCCCCTTATGTATTATACATGTAGATCATATCCCCCCCTTATGTAATATACATGGAGATCATATCCCCCCCTTATGTATTATACATGGAGATCATATCCCCCCTTATGTATTATACATGGAGATCATATCCCCCCTTATGTATTATAGATGGAGATCATATCTTCCTTATGTATTATACATGGTGATCATATCCCCCCTTATGTATTATACATGGTGATCATATCCCCTCCTTATGTATTATACATGGAGATCATATCCCCCCTTATGTATTATGCATGGAGATCATATCCCCCTTAATCTCCTCTTTTCAAGAGAGAATAAATTCAGTTCCTCTAATCTTTCCTCATAGCTGAGCTCCTCCATGCCTCGTATCAGTTTGGTTGCCCTTCTCTGTACTTTCTCCAGTTCCCCAATGTTCTTTTTGTGAATTGATTCCCAAAACTGAACTGCATATTCCAGATGAGGTCTTACTAATGATTTGTACCGGGGTAATATGATATCTCTCTCTCTGGAGTCTATACCTCTCCTAATACAAGAGAGGATTTTGCTCGCTTTAGACTCCGCAGCTTGGCATTGCTGCCATTATTAAGCTTGTGATCTACCAGAACCCCCAGATCCTTCTCCACCATTGACCCCCCCAGTTGTACCCCCCTAGTATGTATGATGCATGCAGATTCTTAGCCCCAAGTGCAGAACCTTACATTTATCAACATTAAACCTCATTTGCCACATAGTTGCCCAATTAAACAGAGCATTGAAGTCGGCTTGTAAATTGGAGACATCCTGTAAGGACGTTATTCCCCGACACAGCTTGGTGTCATCTGCAAAGACTGAAATGGGATTTTTAATCCCAGACCCTACATTGTTTATAAATATATTAAAAAGTAAGGATCCCAACACTGAACCTTGGGGTACACCACTGATGACCCGAGACCATTCAGAGCATGAATCATTAACCACTACTCTCTGAATACGATCTTTTAGCCAGTTTTCTTTCAATTTACATACGGATTTTTCCAAGCCTGTAGACTTTACCTTACACAGTAGCCGTGTGTGGGGAACTGTGTCAAATGCTTTTGCTAAATCCAAGTATACCACGTCCACCGCCACCCCCTCTGTCCAAGTATACCACATCCACCGCCACCCCTCTGTCCAAGTATACCATGTCCAGCGCCACCCGCTCTGTCCAAGTATACCACGTCCAGCGCCACCCCTCTGTCCAAGTATACCACGTCCAGCGCCATCCCTCTGTCCAAGTATACCACGTCCAGCGCCACCCCTCTGTCCAAGTATACCACGTCCAGTGCCACCCCTCTGTCCAAGTATACCACGTCCAGCGCCACCCCCTCTGTCCATGTATACCACGTCCACCGCCATCCCTCTGTCCAAGTATACCACGTCTAGCGCCACCCCTCTGTCCAAGTATACCACGTCCAGTGCCACCCCTCTGTCCATGTATACCACGTCCACCGCCATCCCTCTGTCCAAGTATACCATGTCCAGCGCCACCCCTCTGTCCAAGTATACCATGTCCAGTGCCACCCCTCTGTCCAAGTATACCACGTCCACCGCCATCCCTCTGTCCAAGTATACCATGTCCAGTGCCACCCCTCTGTCCAAGTATACCACGTCCTCCGCCATCCCTCTGTCCAAGTATACCACGTCCACCGCCATCCCTCTGTCCAAGTATACCACGTCCAGCGCCACCCCTCTGTCCAAGTATACCATGTCCACCTCCATCCCTCTGTCCAAGTATACCACGTCCACCACCATCCCTCTGTCCAAGTATACCACGTCCATCTCCACCATCTGTCCAAGTATACCACGTCCACCGTCTGTCCAAGTATACCACGTTCACCACCATCCCTCTGTCCAAGTATACCACGTCCACCACCACCCCTCTGTCCAAGTATACCATGTCCACCGCCACCCCACCCCTCTGTCCAAGTTTACCACGTCCACCGCCACCCCTCTGTCCAAGTATACCACGTCCACCGTCTGTCCAAGTATACCACGTCCACCACCACATCTCTGTCCAAGTATACCACGTCCACTGCCACCCCTCTGTCCAAGTATACCACGTCCACCACCATCCCTCTGTCCAAGTATACCACATCCACTGCCACCCCTCTGTCCAAGGTTTTGCTCACCTCCTTATAAAAAGAAATCAGATTTGTTTGACAACTTCTGTCTTTCATGAATCCATGCTGTCTATTGTTTAAAATATTTTTTTTCAGTAAGAACTCATCTATGTGATCTTTTATTAAACTCTCCGGTATCTTCCCAACTATAGAAGTTAAACTAACAGGTCTATAATTACTTGCTAAAGATTGTTACCCCTTTCTAAATATTGGCACCAATTAGTAAAGTAAAATCAGTCTGTATAAGCAGTAAAGCATGCTTGTTATGCTCACTGTGGAACCAAAGGGGTCAATCCTACGTAAAAAGGATGTTTAATCCCGTCTTCTCTCATCCTTCCCTTCTTCCACTGTCCCCAACTCATCTGCTGATAGAACAAAGCCTTGAGGGCAAGCTGCACATGCTCAGTTTGATGTGTATTGCTAGAGAGGTTTTATTTTTTTTTTTTTCTTGGGAGAGTGCATGTGATCAGCACGGGGCCAATCGGCACTGTCCAGACAGAGGGTCAGGGGCCCTGCAGTCTTTTAGGACAATCAGGGGAAAATGAAAACTCCTCCTACGAGCTTTAACCAGTGCTCTGCTGGACACTGATAGAAGTCACAAGACTGCTATATACTGCTGATGAGAAAAAGGTATTTAGCAGTTTATATTTACTAAAATAATTGTATTTCCATGTTATGTGTACTGTGGGAGAACGGATCTAGTGAATGCAGGGTCCTGGGAGACCGGATATAGTGAATGCAGGGTGCGGGGAGACCAGATATAGTGAATGCAGGGTCCGGGGATACCGGATATAGTGAATGCAGGGTCTGGGGAGACCGGATATAGTGAATGCAGGGTCTGGGGAGACCAGATATAGTGAATGCAGTGAATGCAGGGTCCGGGGAGACCGGATATAGTGAATGCAGGGTCCGGAGAGACCAGATATAGTGAATGCAGGGTCCTGGGTTTAGTAACACTTTAGTACCCATTCACACCAGAATGCGGTGCAGGAAACCACATTTCATGCATGTTTCCCATTCCATGTTCATAGTTCACTGCTGTTGAAATCTGCAGTGGGTTTTAACAAACACAGGTCACAAATGAAGTGCAATTGCCTGCACCACACCGCATGGTACAGAAGAACCATGCAATCCAGTTGCAGGCGATTATTAACGCAGTGCATGCATTTGTTTTGGTGCGGTCCAGTGCAATTCAGCCCATTCAAAGTGAATTGGCTCAAATTTCACGGCATGTGAATTGCACGTTACTGTGCAATTTCTGGTGTGAACCGGCCCCAAATCTAGGTTCACACCTATGCGTTTTCCGTGGCTTTTTGCAGAAATGCACAACAGTCCATTTAACATGATTTCCTATGGGACAGGTTCCGTTCTCAGCGTTTTCACCCGGTGCACTTTTTAGAAAGGGTCAGGGACTTTTTCAACTCAAAACGTTGCTTTTTTTGTTCTATAGACTTCAATGGAGACGCTGCAGAAAAGCATGTAATGTGTTTTTGATGCATTTTTGATGTGTTTTGCATTTTAATCTACCAGGCAACAATTTTGGAAAAAAAAAAAAACACAAACTGTATCAAAATAGCGGCAAATATGCATGTGCAAAACGCACCGCAAAAACACTGAAGAAAAGGATCAAATGCAAACTGCATAGGTGTGAACCTAGCCTAGTTGTCCCATTGACAAAGGAACCTAAGACAAATAGAGAGGTGGAAACTCCCTAGAGGGGTACAGGCAGGAAATAAAAACCCAACAGGGGTTCTAAGTAGGGCCAGGGTTGCAGAATAAAATGAGTGCTATGTATATACATTAATAATGCAGCAGGAATGGTAGGTGTATGCGAATTCTGTGTTGCAGTATTATACATTTTATCACAATGCACAAGTGGGAATGCAGCTTCTAGGAGCAAAAAAAAAAATGCTAATAACAGCTTCTAGGAGCTTAAAAAAATGCTAGTGTGCATGGAGCCTAAAGGTACCCTGTAATGGAGGGAGCCATTGCTGATCTTCTAAAACAGTTATCGTCAGTATTTGGACTCGCTGACCTGGAATCAGCATGCATGTCAGGAAAGTCAAAGTTAAGTCAGGACATCTGATTTGCATGCTTGTGCCAGGTCAGTGACCCAGAAGTACTGAAGCCATTGGATCAGCATGACAGTCAGGCAATTAGTATTTTTCGAAGCAGGGTTTAGCAGAGGCAGTCTACTCTTAGCACAGGTTCTCTTTAATTGCTTCATTAAGATTAGCAATGTTAGGACAGTCACATAACCATATAATAGGGTTGATTTACTATATAGACTGTGAGCTTTGCAAGTGCAGTTTCACTTATTTCTTTAGTAATGTAATGTGATGACGCCTCACTTTGTATAGGATACCCAATCAGGTGCAAGGAAAATTAAAAAAAAAAAAACAAAAACATTTTTGTTTGCACATCAGCAAGAGCTTTACCACATTTACTAAGGTCTGGGGAAAGTGCGCAATCTGTTTGTCTTTAGTAAATCAACCCCATAATGGTGGATTGTTTCTGCTCTTTGCTCCCAGCCCTGATTAGTGCAAGGTTGTCTATTCCCCCGAAGTCCTCTTCCCACAAGAAATATTGTTCAGATGTTTTTCTTTAACAGTAATTATAATCCCATCCCCGGGGCAATCAATAAATATGATTAGTGCCATATACTTCTAAATGACTCTTTTGTTGTTCCTGTACAGTGTGATTGAAATAACTGTCATTGTACTTGGCAGAATATGAAAACAATAAACGTAACTCCTTCTGGAATGATTTATTCATGTCTGAATGGGGGTTTGTTTTGTGTTTGTTTGCTTTTACAGTATGAAAGCAATGTACTTAGGAAAATACAGTATACTGTACTGAAAGTCAACCCTGAACCTTGGCTCCTGGGGGATCCCAGCCTCTTAAAGGGAACTGGAATGGATTTAGGACTATACATTTTTAACTTTTTAATTATTTTTATATATTCACAACTCCTCTCTCTCTCCCCTTTGTCCTCTTTCTTTCTCCCTTCCTCTCTCTCTCAACCCAGTCCTCTCTCCCCCTTCCTCTCTTTCTTTCCTACGTCCTTTCTCTGTCCCATCCTCTCTTTCTCTGCCCAGTCCTCTCTCCCCTGTCCTCTCTCTTTCCCTCTCCCCCCCATCCTCTTTCTCTCTCCCCCCAGTCCTCTCTCTCTCCCCCCCTCTTCCCTGCCCTCTCCCCCCCCATCATCTCTCTCTCTCTCCCTGTCCTCTCTCTCTCTCCCCCATCATCTCTCTCTCCCCTGCCCTCTCTCTCTCTCCCCAGTCCTTTCTCTCTCCCCGGTCCTCTCTCTCCTCCGTCCTCGCTCTGTTTCTCTGCGTCCTCACTCTCTCCCCCTGCCCTCTCTCCCCCCCCCGTCCTCTCTCTCCCTCCCCGCCCTCTCTCTATCTCCCTCGTCCTCTCTCTCCCCCCCTCGTCCTCTCTCCCTCGCCCTCTCTCTCCCTCCCTCGTCCTCTCGTCTCCCTCCCCTCCCTCCTCTCTCCCTCCCTCGTCCTCTCTCTCCTCATCCTCTCTCTCTCTCCCTCGTCCTCTCTCTCTCTCCTCGTCCTCTCTCTCCCTCCCTCGTCCTCTCTCTCCCTCCCCTCTCCTCTCTCTCCCTCACCCTCTCTCTCTCCCTTATCCTCTCTCTCTCCCTCGTCCTCTCTTTCTCCCCTGTCCTCTCTTCCCGTCCGTTTCCTCTACCCCCATCCTCTCTCTCTCCCCTCCTCTCTCTCTCCCCATCCTCTCTCCCCTCCTCTCTCTCTCCCCGTCCTCTCTCCCCCCGCCCCCTTTCTCTCTCTCCCCGTCCTCTCTCCCCTCCTCTCTCTCTCCCCCCTCCTCTCTCTCTCTCTCTCCCCCTGCCCTCTCTCTCTCCCCGTCCTCTCTCTTTCCCCTCCTCTCTCTCTATATCTCCCTCCCCTCCTCCCTCTCTCTCTATCTCTCCCCCCCCTCCTCCCTATCTCTATCTCTCCCTCCCCTCCTCCCTCTCTCTATCTCTCCCTACCTCTCCTTCTCTCTCTCCCCTCCCTCCCTCCCTCCCTCCCTCTCTCCCTCCCTCTCTCCCTCCCCTCCCCCCCTCCCCCCTTCCCCTCTCTCTCTTTCCCCCATCCTCTCTCCCCTCCGCCCTCTCTCCCCCCCCACCCCCCTCTCTCCCCAGTCCCCTCTCTCTCATCCATCCTCTCTCTCTCCTCTTTCTCCCTCCTTCCCCCTGTGTGTGTCTCTCTCTCTCTTTCTCCCACCCCCCTCTCTCTTTTTCTCCCACCCCCTTCTTTCTCTCTCACTCCTCTCTCTCTCTCTCTCTCTCTCTTTCTCTCTCACTTTTTCTTTCCTTTCCCTCCCCTCTCTCTTCTCCCCACCCCCACACTGTCCCTTTTTTTCTCATTCTCCCTCCCCTCTCTCTCTCTTCTCTTACTCTGTCT